CTAATTTAATCCTAGCCTGAGGTCTAAATCATTGTGATTTTTACATCGCTCTGGCAACTAACACATACTCTCTGTTTCTAAATTTAGAGATGCAAATCTGTGTGTGTACTTACATTTCCACTGTGACTTTTATGTTGCTTTTAATATATTTAAATTATGAAAAGAAATGTCATTTGTACTTGAAGTATGTTCTTTAAGTACGTCATATTAAAAACAGGTAGTACTTCAAAGAGAAGCAAATATTTTCTTCTTCTTCAAATAGGTGAAAATCACCATCTATTGCAGTTTACAAACAGTTTCTGAGTGACACTTATTTTTACTTGTCCTGTTAAAAGCAAGTAGAAATAGTCAAAAAGTCACCGTCCCAATATTGTCAAAGCTAGCAGAGCTACATTGGAAAAAGTTAATATTAGTTAAAGTTAATATTTGGATATTTATGTGGCACTTTGAAAGACATTTGTTGGATTCAGCTAGCTAGCCTTACACACTGAGTTTCATTGATAAATAACAGCAGGTAGCTGCGATAATGCTAACCAGGTATCAAAGAAGAAGAAGAAAGAACTACAAAAGATTTACAGTACTGTGCAAAAGTCTTGAACCTGTATCAGGTCTTTGCTGGATTTTTTCCTGTTTCTTAAGGAAATGATTCAATTCAATTCATTTTTATTTATACAGCGCCAAATCACAACAACAGTCGCTTCAAGGCACTTTATATTGCAAGGTAGACCCTACAATAATACATACAGAGGAAAACCCAACAATCATATGACTCCCTATGAGCAAGCACTTTGGCGACAGTGGGAAGGAAAAACTTTTGTCCTCCACACATGCAGTTTCTTCATTTGTTTTTTAAAGACACGCAGCACACCATACTAAGACATGCCAAGTTTTCAGCAAACAGATCTTCTGGAATCTCCTTGTTGGTGCAAAAATGCTGTTTTTATGCCCGTTGAACTGTGTGCACTTTCCATAGAGAAAACAAAGGGGAACAAAGTGTGTGTTTTTGCATCAGACTGTGACAAAGTGCTTAAAAATAGAGTTTCAATTCTTTGCTACATTGTCTGTTACCATGTCTAGACACGACACTGGTTCCTCGAGTTGAGTTAGATGCCTTTTTATGCTTAAAAGATTCATAGGTTGAGTGGCTTAACAGACAAAAGTATTCCTTCAACCTTTATTTAACCGGGGGCCCTTGGGATTAACATCTCGTTTTAAAAGGAGGGTTAGCCAAGAATGCACACCATTACCATGCTACGAGGTAAACATCACATGTAACATCAAAACACATAAAACAGAATAAAACAAGTCAGAATCAAAATAACACAAATACAAAGTCCAGCTCATGATTCGCAGTTATTCTCTTCAGTTACAGAAGTCTTTATGAGAGCACCGGTACAGGGATTGGCTCAAGACTTTTGCACAGTCCTGAGCCACCTCTCAAACTGTCACGTCACATGTGTTTTCATAGTGCAGAGCTGTATGTAATATTGTGTGGTCTATAGCCTACAGGTGAACTTCTAAGCCTGAACAACTGTTTCACTGTATGCTACACTCTTGTACTTGAGCATTTGATAAGATTAGATATGTGTATTTTTTTTACCAGCTATAAAAACACAGCAACAGTAGCTCTTCAATCCTAAATCAGACATTTATTCCTCACCAGCGTCTGCGCTAACCTATCCATCACATCATTAAAATGCTAATAGCTAGTAATCACTCTGGGCTGCGAGACATAAAGGTTTCCCAGTTGGCATGCAGAACATTTTCCCCACATTACAGCTGCCCAGATATTGCCTGTTTGTGATTTTTATAACAAGCTATTAGACACAGCGGCTTATTTTCAAACAGCCAACTGCAGTGTACCAGCAATGTTGCTAAGAAACCTAAGAGGGGGCCTTCATAATGGCAGATATTGTGACTGGTCAAAGCGCGGCCAGCACAAGTGTAACTAATAAAATGAATGATGGCTTGGTTCCATTATCTGCCCCAGTAAGCAATGCCAGTGAACCAGCATGCATAATAAATCAGGGTAAGTAAAATGGAACGCAGACATTATTAACACGAGCTGTTTCCTCAAGTAACGTGTCGGAGAGATTTATTACCTGGCATCTCCTGCTTGTTTGCCTTTTCATACCTAACATGTTATTTTTTTTATTATCCCTCCAACCTCTCACTTGTTCCACCATTTGCTACAAACCCTGGAAGCTTCATTCCTGCTTTTGCTGGAAGAACAGCGCCCTCTTTCTGTTATTTTGCCATAAAACACCCCAGTGCATCTCCAGCATAGAAGAAAATCCACCTGGCGGCACTGACTGCAGGCAAAGAACATCCTCCCCACTGGTCTTGCTTGCACTTCATTGCACTGACGCCTCAGAATGAATGCGTCCCTGTTTTTATATTAAAAAAAGCACTGCACATTTCACCTGCACGTTGAACTGAAGGTTTTTGAAGCTGCAGTAAATGCAGACAGAAAATGAGGAATTGATATCAAAGATTATGATGCTTTTAACAAAGCTTATTTAAATACAGCTGGTGTGCGTGCTGTTACTGTGCTGAATGGCAACTACAAAAGTGGGCAGGGAGGAGACACAAGCACAGAATTCAGATATTTGTGGGTACCTGATATTTCCTGCTGAGTCACCAGTCCCCTGCATCAATAGCCCCTTTTGTTGCCACTGATGGTCACAATGATGGAAGAGCCAAGGTCCCTCACTGTCACACACACACACAC